TCCCCAGCACGGCGACAGCCTCCTTCCCTCCCAGGGCTTCCTCTGGCTCCTGCTGCTGGGCCTGGGGATCCTGCCTTCTGTAAGCTCTAACTCCTGCGGAAGGCCCCCTACATATTCCAACATGGAGGTCGACCGCCCTCTCAAATACGTCTACTTTCCTATGGAACATATACATTATCATTGCAAACCCGGATACCGGAGTCGCCCTGTGTTACCCACCCTTGCGGTTTGCGGCCCCAATGGTAAGTGGTCAAATGTGTCCACGGATGCTTGTTATAAAAAGTCATGTGACCTCCAGGTGGATCCTGTAAATGGACAAGTGATCCTGCTAAACAAAAGTTATGAGTTTGGAACACAAATTCAATTTGTTTGTAATGATGGTTTTTACTTAGTTGGAAATGAAATTCTCCATTGTCTGCTGAACGGATCAAATGTGCATTGGAATGGCAAAGCCCCAGTGTGTGAGAAGATTTCCTGTCAACCACCTCCGAAAATACCAAACGGGGGCTACTCCAGTAAGAAGGATCCATTTCAGTATCTGGAATCCGTCAAGTACTGGTGTAATCACAGTCCTGGACCTGATGACTTTTCGCTGGTTGGAGACAGCCAGCTGTATTGCCTTGGCAAAGACGTGTGGAGCAGTGACCCGCCTGAGTGTACGGTGGTCAGATGTCCGCGCCCAGTGGTCCCCAATGGAAGACAGAGGTCAGGATTCGTACTGAAGCATTCCTACAGAGCCAGGGTTACGTTTGAGTGCCTGCAGGGCTTCTTCCTGTACGGAAACAACACCGTGGTCTGTGCGGCTGACAGCACCTGGCAGCCCCCGCTTCCGCAATGTCTGGACACGCCGCCTTCCCCCCAGAAAAGTGCTGCTGTCTCTGGTGGCCCGGGCCGACCTCGTCCCAGAGCGGGGCCTCCACAGACCAGTGTCGGCACTGCCGGTAGAGGGTCTCCCAGCTCTGAGCCTGAAAACAAATGTATGACGGTGCTGATTGTTGTCTACTTTGTTGTAGTTGTAATATTTTGTACCTTCCTGTACAAATTTATTCGGAGCAGAAATAAGCAGCACAGAGGTTTAAGCTAGATATATCCCTCATCAGAAGAGGTCAACCACCCTACCAGAGCAAACTGATTGTTTTCCACAAACTGGCTTGCCCATTTTTTAAAAAAATTCTATTAAAATCTTCAGATGTGCAAAAGTTATTCTCTAGTTTCACTCTCATGAACGTAGTGAAGTCATAATGCTAACGTTTTAATGTGACGGGAATGTAGGCATTACCCTTTCAGACTTCTTTAAGGGTATGTTGGGGAACGTATAAATTGCCTGTATGCTCTTGAGTAGAGCTAATGATCATGTTACCCTTGGCAGTAAGCTAAAAGAATCACAGAATCTGGAAACTTAAGTAAATATACTTCAAAAAGAAATAATATTTCATTTGTAAAGTGAATTATTTGGGATCTGTTTTTAATTCTTAGAATAGCAGCAGCTCAATTTTATTATTTCAATAACTATATGTATTATATATATTATGAATTATAAAGAAAAGCTTCTACAAATCTGTATGCACTACTTTAGTTCTTACCGATCAAAACCATGAACTTGGGGCTGGGGATTTAGCTCAGCGGCAAAAGCGCCTGCCTGGCAAGCGCAAGGTCGTGAGTTCGGTTCCCGGTACCAGAGAAAAACCAAAAAAAAACAAAACCATGAACTTGAAAATCAGGCATATGTACAAGACTGATTTCCTTGACAAGGAATATTACTAGTATTCTTTAAATATCAGTAACATTGAATCCTTTTCTAATAATTGGTCACTTAATCTCGAAGCTTTTTGTGTGGCACATTTTTATCACTGTCATAAACATCAATACATTGATGAAGGAGCAATCAAGGTTTCAGAATCTGTTGCATATTTTTGTCCAGAGTTAGAGGACTCTGACAGCCAGAGGAAAGGCTGCGGGTTCCTGGTGACAGGGACAGCATGGCCTCAGGCTCTGCTCAGGGGTCCAAGGGGCAGGCCATGGCTCGAGGTGCTCCTCTGTGTCCACAGGAATTGCAAGCTCCAGCGTTAAACGTGCCACCTGCAGGCAGGCAGTGGAGACGTTAACTTCACAGGATGAACTCGAACTGTGTTAGAAACTTAGTCCGTCCGGTCTCTCCCGAATGGACCACTGCAGTTTACGGGATCTAACCCTCTCATAGACTTAATGTCAGTAGAATTTTATGTCCAGTGCCCTGTGACTGAGGACACTGAGATTAGACAACAGGCGGAGCCCCCACCCCAAACCTCAGGCTCGGGGCCCTTGCACGTCTACGCTGCTCGCTGCTGGCAGTGTGAGAAAGGAGCCTCAGCCGTCTCACCATCACCACTCAACTCAAGTTGGTCCTGACTGGAGTCAGGAGAAACTACAGGTCGCCATTAAGGACATTATAAGGTTAATACTTTTTAGATAATAGATTATCTAACTTTAGGAAGGAACAGCTGGAGACTGACCTTAGGACATTCGCACTGAGCGACACCCCAGCCCTTATTTATGTTTATTGTCTGACAGAGTATTTCTCAGTCACTAATTTTCCCAGGTGATGCTCAAGAATGTGACCCTGCTAACTCATCCTGCTGCAGTGCTTGGGTCACAAGGTGTGTGGGGAACCTCTCAGACTGCTTCAAAGCTCAGGGGTGTCTAAGGATATCTGAGGATGTGACCCCACTTGTCTAACGTAGGTGCACAGTGTGATACATTTCTCTATCACTTCATACAGGTAAGCATGCACGCACCCTGGTTATGGCACTATGTGAGAATGTAAATATGAGATAACAACCTATAGAAGAATTATACGACAAAGAAGCAGGCTGCTCTCGCATTTTTGTGTTCTTATGCTCTTTTCCATGCTGCCTGCTGTTGTTGCTGAAACAAACAAACAAAAAAATTAATCTATGAGCACTGACCCTGCCAGCTAGAGGCTGTTAGGTTTGTACTCCTTCCCTCGTTTTCTGAAAGGCTCAGTGAAACTTAAAGCTTTGTTCATGGAGGAACTGTCCTCTTTTTTTTTTGGTTTTTCTCCGGTACTGGGAACCGAACTCACGACCTTGCGCTTGCCAGGCAGGCGCTTTGCCGCTGAGCTAAATCCCCAGCCCAGAACTGTCCTTTTGTCCGTCACTACTAGTCATGCTCATGATGAGAACAGTAACATCAGCTCGGACAGCACTCCGCCCTGAGTTAGAAAGGCTCTTCTCCCTACCACACAGTCTCCTGCAAAGAAGCCAGGAGCCTGGAGGAGGACTGAAACTTTGTATTCAGTGGGACAGCTGGGTCGGAGAAATGTTGCCTCAGAGGGAACAGGGACTAAGTAAACGAATAAACATCCTTTTACAATATGAAGACATATTTACTATGCATTGTGGTTTTTTCCTGTGCAATTTCTGAAGAGAGGCTTTAGAAAGGTAAAATTTATCCGGAAATGCACAGTAATTCTGCATTAAGCACAGCCATAGCTTAACCGTACCCATTTCCATGTATTTTTCAAGGAAGTACCAATTGCTTAGAAACAAGCACTGTCTACTCTGGAGATTGTTCAAATATTTTCAGAATGAAGTCCATAAAGTTTACAGAGATGTCTAATTTTTTTTTTTTTTTTTTTTTGGTTTTTCTCCGGTACCGGGAACTGAACTCATGACCTTGCGCTTGCCAGGCAGGCGCTTTTGCCGCTGAGCTAAATCCCCAGCCCCTTACAGAGATATAGAACAACTTATTACCATTTTCAATTAAAAACTAAAAGATGAAATACAGTCATGACTAATTTAATTAAAATCTGGAAAAAGTATTAGCAGTAATTTTCTAATTATGTGTGTTATAGAAATATTTTTCATTTTTCTCTAATTTTCAATTTCATATTAAACTAGGACATGCACACACAGTGTAGACGTGTATGTGTGCATGTGTATATATGTGCATGTATTTGTATGCTGAACAGATGCATGTGTTAAATGTAGTTTTACAAAGACCTAGGCTGGACCTTTTCCCTTCATGTCGCAGTCCCCAGTCACCCCGTCATGCAGGCCCTCGCAGGCACGGGCGCAGTTCCTCCCGTAGTGATCTTCTGGGTCCGGGGGCCACTGCACCGAGGGATTCCTTATGAAAGATGTGAATCGGCTCATGGGTGTTATGCAATTTGTCCCCTTTTACTTCCTTGTGTTTTTTTCCCATCTAGCAAAGACAGATAGAACAATATCTATACTTCCAGGCTCCAGTTTTTTTCCTGTTTCTAAATTAATAATGGTAAGTCAGGATCGAGCAGCTCTCAGCGATGGACTGTCTTTCCAGGCCATGCCTAGCATCCATCTCAAGGTACATGTCCTATCAACTGGTTTCTATAAGGATGCACCAGAATCAGAGAGAGGAATATCCGTACAGCTTAGAGAAGTATTCATCCTCTAAAATCAGGAACACTGGTCGTCTCTCTGCCTCTGATCCCGCATCCAAGCAGTAGAGGACTTTCAGGTACCCACTGTCTGTTCAGAGAACTTAATACCAAGCACAAGGGCTCAGTCCTAGTGGTCTTTACACCAAGGAGCAAGTAGCTCTGCAATGTCTATGAGCCAGGGCCTCCTCTTCAAAGCAGGAGAGCCCTCAGGCCCCCTGTGTGTGTCAGGCACCGAAAAGGCCAAGCACATACAACCTACAACACTGTGAAAACATATACTATCCCACACCTGGTAATACTAATTTAAGCAGAAAGTCGAAGAGAAAAAAAATGAAAAAGTATGAGAAAAGAGGTAAAAGTAATTTCCTAGATGCAAATTTAATATTTCTCCCAAGCATAAGATCTATTAAAATATGTTCCTCTGTTTGTAGTTATGAGATGAATTCTCCCACATCACCATTCACACATCCTGGAAATGGTGTCAGGTTTTTGGAGAGAACATGGAGTAATTCCTGCTTCTGAGAACACTTCTCCTACGGGACTCAAGAGCTGTGGCCTCAGGCCTCCGTGCAGCCCTTGGGTCTTCCTGGGGCGCAGAGGCGGGGGTCCGTCTGAGCTCGTCTGCTTTAGCAACCCACTCTGTGCCAGGAAGTACAAAGGCTCTTGTTTTCCTGAACATCTCTCCATTTTTACTTTTTACAGTTGTTTATGAAGTTTAAAGACAGGACTTCACAGAAAAGCGACCGCTCTTTCAAAAGCAGGCAGTTGTTCACAGGGAGGGGATACTGTGCTTCAGTCTACAGCCCCGCACACACAGTGTTATGGTTGAACTAGTTCAAAGTTCACTTTAATACAAGCATTTTTGCCAGGGAAGATTTAATCAGATAGTGCGGCCATGGTAAAACACCGTGAGTGAGTTGCCGAGCACCGTACGTTTTGGGTGTGCTCAACAGAGCAGGGAGGAGCTACAGTTATAGAAATGCGTTCTGTAGCGCTGGAAAATGGGACGTCCCTGCGGATCCAAACAAGGTAAACGTGTGAAGAAACGGTTGCCTCTAGTGCTTGCAAAATGACTGCTACCTCAAGGCTGAAACATAAATTTTAAAGCTAGTGTATTAAGTGGGCAGGAATCCACAGAAGATTCATAAAAGGTATCAGCACAAAGGAACACAGAACCCGGGGCTCAAATGAGAGGAATAAAACTATAAAGAGGAAAGGGAATAAGAGGAAAAGGAACCCGGGAGATCTTTAGGACGCTCAGAATCCTGGAAGACGAAATTGCACGCTTGCAACCTACTGTGCTCCGTAGCTCGCCGCTCAGCCAGCATCTGAACCGGCCTTGTGACTGCAGCTTCTGTTCCTTTTCCTTAATCTCCCTGAGCTGCTTCTCCCTGTGGCCTTTACCTCTGCGCTGAATAACTGATGCCCCCGTCTCTCCAGGGCTGGCAACCGCCAGGTTGTTGTAAACACACCACTTCCGTAGCTGCCCCATACAAACGTTTCTTTCTGTGGTTATCTCTTTCACCATCCGTCCTGTCTGTTCCTGAGCACTATCACTACTCTCTCTGTAGTTCTTCCACTTTGAATATGATTTCCTGTTAATGAGATCCTCAAACAGTGTTGTTACTCCAACTGTGACACTGGAGTAATCTCTGAGAAGAGATCCTGTCTCTTCTGGCCCTAACAGGACGTTTCCCCAGGCAGCTCAAAAACCACATTCCTATGTAATGTCACATTTCAGTCTCATTTTTAATTGTTTTTGTCTTTTACAATAGGTCTTCCACACGGCACTGCTTCCAAGTTATTCATTTCCCCTGAATAAATCTTGTCTTTAATTACTTTTCCCGGATATATGAGTCTCCTCTCCACAGGAAATTCCTCCTCTTGTTCTTTGTTCACATGTCTTTTGTCGTGAGAATACCACGTTCATATATTTCTGTACATATCAGTTTCCTATGGGTTTCATTTATAGAAATATTTATGAGTTACTTCCATTGATTTTTGATTTCCATTTCTCATACTATTATGGCAAATGTACCAATCCATGAGGTTGCACCTGGTGATAGGAACCATTTACCATAGTTTTCCTCTAAATACAGTTATGAAGCCTCTAAAGGAAATCCTACAGCCATTGCCTTGGGGAGGGATGGACGCTGGGGACTTGCAGGACCTGAATCTCACAGGGGCAAGGGAGTATTTCAAAACCGCAAGCCTGGTCCTTTGTTCACCTGAGATCCTGGCTCACCTGTATCTTCCCACGTGTGGCCACTATTATGATGTCATCGGCCCTCACCAGACAGCAAACTCCATCCAAGTCCGAGAGGCGCCACCTCCCTTTGGAGTCTGACCTGCACACTGACAAGGAAATGTACCTCTTTTCTTCATTAAGTGCACAGACTCAGTTATATTGTGGTCGCAAAAGAGGACAGATGAATATATCCCTCCAAGTTTTCTCTTGAAGATCTCTTTGGTAACCAAGAAGGCCACTCAGTGGCCAGGCACACCTCCCAGCACTCTCGGGAGATTGAGGCAGGAGGATTGTCATGAGTTTGAGGACGGCCTGGGCTACATAGTGAGTTCAAGGCCAGCCTGAACTACATAGTGAGAGCCTATCTTAACAAAAAGAAGGCTACTCAGATGAGTATAGCTAAACAATGAATCCAGATGTCACAAAATATAGAGGTCAACAGCTGGCAGTTAGGTTTTTTTATCTGTGGGATAAATGTTAACTGTTTAGGAAGGATATCAACATTTTATCTTCATTTTATTTAGAAAAAGCTTCAAAAGGAAGTGGAATTATAAAACATCTCAAACAAGAAACATATTTACATGACATTGCAGAACTATATTTTTAAAAATCATAAAATAGAATAGAGGAAAGCTACTATTTTCCAAACCTTCAGTGAAGTAAAACAGTATGAAAATCACACAGAGCCACATTCTATTACAGTGCTGCAGGTAGCTGGTTGACTCTGATGGGTTGAAATCTAATTTCATGGATAAAGTAGATATGATGTCACCCACTCACAGCACTTGGGCTGGGGTCTATAGAGCTTCATAATAGTGTTGAGTGGGAAACAGGTATGGTAAATGATTCTGTATAACCAGGTTAAACTATGTAGATTGGTACATTTGCCTTAATAATATGACAAGTGGAAATCAAAGGTACATGCAAGTAACTCATAAATATTCCTGTAAAGGTTTTGTATGGTATAAGAAGTAATAGAGGTAAAGCCATTCAACAGATGCTTAATCTGTTACACTGTACTTAACACGTACCAATAAAATGTTATCTGCTCAGTGCATACAGAAAAAATATGCATGGGGTGTGGCACCTGCATCATTGTTAGCCGTTGTCACTGTGGTACACAGTGGCTGCTTAGGCGAACCCTGCATGTGTAATGCTGTATCCTACATCACACTGTGTCTGAAAGTGTGTCCTAAACAGGCACAGTAGCACAACTGTAATCCCGAGGATGGTGAG